TAATAATAATAATAATAATAATAATTTGAATCCTCAACATATGGTTTATTAATTAATAAAAATTGTTTATAGATATGAAATTTTTATCTTTATTTACTGTACAATTTCTTACATACAAATAGTGCAATGCCTTTAAAAATTGGTCACAATAATTGACTTAATTGCATACAGAATTCATTCATGTATACAAGTATTTTATGATTATATACATTTCTTTACAAGTTGCAATGTTATATACAAGTCGTGTCAGCAGTGAGAGGTGGAAACTTAGTGTTTTGCTGTGCCATAGAATTGTCAAACAATTCAGAAAGTTTACAATAATTCGATAATTTTCAGACGACAGCTTTTATAAAACATGAAGAAAATATTTCTAATCTTTTCAGGAATTTTAAACTATATATATCCCTGTTTGTGGTAAACGATAACATAAATTATTGGATCTAATTGTAAATTATATTTCACAATTCATTTTTAGCATCGTGTCACGTCAACAATCGGATGAAAGTTAATTACGATACGAGCAACATATAAACTTACAAACTTTCTTATTTTTTACAGTTTCACACATACACTTTTATACATTGTTTCTCGCATCAGACTTCGCTAAATCACTATATTACATCTTACGCTCGTTCTATAGTTACAAAAGTTAGAGGCAAGAAGCATCACATCACATAGAAAATACAAATCCGGTAGTCAATCGTGCATTTGTGCCAGGAACGTTGTCGTGATTGCAATAAAAGCTTCAATTTCGCACTTTTCACCAGTATAATTGTCATGCTGAATACCGGGCAATCGTGGTCCTTCATTTTCCGCGATTAGCACTTTAAGAAGCGTCGTGATTGAAATTGTATATCTGAGATAAATCACACGTTTCCTGCCCGTTTCGTAATGATGCATTTGATTTTACTCGATCGGTAACAGTCTTTTACGCAATAGGAGTTTCAACACACCGTGTTGCGCCACATATATGCTAACACACCGAGGACATTGAATAAACGACAGAACGGAATTTTTTCTTCCTATTTTTGCGACACTTTTTGATTTCATAGCTTGGAAGAAACCTCCGTTTATACGAAATTTTACTTAGTTTCCGATTAAGTAAATCTCCAGTCGATTGAATTCATTCGTCTAAACGTGAAGTTCTATTGCGTGAACACGAAATATCGCAATGGCAAGTGATCAGTGGGTCATTACATATAAATCCCACAGACTGATAAATATATCAAACAATTTGAAATTTCATTCTAACTATTGTTACGATAACAGATAAAGTCACGCTATGTGTTTTCGCTCAAGGAACTTTATTCGCAGATTCGTCAGTTCGTTCGTGACGAAATTGTCGGCGGGGCTTTCAGCGAATAAAATTTTCAAAAGGGGGAGGGGTGTGGAAGAAGGGGGGCACGCGATGCGCCAAAAGCAGCCGGCGAACAATTCAGCGGCGCAGGGGGTTTCATTCCACGAAGCATTTTTCCGGTTGTGGGAACGCCGCGGGTAACGAGGAACGCTCAGGTTTGCCGCGATTTCACCGGTAATTCGAAAAATGCATAGGAATTAGCGGGAGCGGTATGCGTGCACGCGGGGATAAGGGACGTTTCGGTGGCACCGGCGACAAAGGTATTCGCCATAGGAACGTAGATGCGTGAGTTTATGCGTGCGCGTTGGCGCAACCCTTTGGAGAGAGAGAAAGAGGGAAGGAGAAAACGAGCAAAAAGAGGTGAAAGGAGGAGGCGAGGTGTGCGGGTCGCCAACACATATCTCGATATCTCACGGTTCGATCTTTCTCGGCCTGACCGCCCGTATATTTACATGTATAATTTATATATCCCGTAGCAGGGGCGAAGGTGGTGTGTGCTCAGCCAGGGCGGGTCCGAACGTCCTTACGGCCCCGATACACCTTCCGACGCATCCTTGGCGTGCGCTGCACCACGTTACATACACGCCGTTCACGATCGATCGAGAAATTCGCGAGAATACAACGGGATAAATTCCCACGATCCTGCCGCGCTGTCGATTTTCAAGAAAGCGTTTTAGCATTTTAGAATCTGGAATACTCGATGGATGAGTATTCGTTTGGTCTGAGGACTTCTGAGAGAATATCGTAATAACGGGAAGCGAGATTTCCTGTGCGTGCAATTGCGTAAGAAAAAACTTGGGTAAAAATAATGAATGAAACGACTGTATAAATTCGCATTTGAATTAGGCAAGTTAAGAATGAAATTCAATCCTAATATTTTTCAGCTGATCCCTCAACATCGACATGTTTCCACAAACTCTCTTAATCTTTGTTGCCCAACATGATGCTCAATCGTCGCGGTCAATTAACACTTTTTTTTTATCAAGAAAAAAAAAATTTACATCTCGATCCATTTACCATTTTTTTTTTACGTCCTTTTTTTTTTTGAAGAAACTGCTACCAAGTATTCCTTAAGCCAGGAGAGAGAAATTCGTTGGCGCAGCTTCGAATCGCTCGCGAGTCTGACCGATACAAGCTCGTCGCTTAAATGCGGAAGATTCTGCGCGGAGGGAAGCGGGCCTTAATTAAGCGAAGGCTTAACCAACGAATTCCATAATACCGTTCCCGTTCGCGTAACACGACCACGATAAGAGCCTACCCATCCGACAGCGCGGCGCGTTCGTGGGATTTTTTTCGGCGAAATAATGCGCCAGCGCGAGGCATCGCCGGCTCTCCCTATCGCCATTGTGGCCACGAGAGAGCAATTAATTATTGCTTGGCCGCGAGGGAGTGCATTGTTGCATCTGTTGTTGCACGCTACATGTTCTCCTCGGTTTGTATAGTTAAACGGCGGAGCTGTGAATGATTCTGCGCGTCGCGGAACGGTTTCTTCGGCCAACGAAATGTTGCGTGCCTTCGTACACAACGAACCGAAGGACCGGCGGTAATTTATATAAGCTCGCAGAGAAGAAAAAGATATGTAGCCTTTCGCCTTCCTTAAGACTTCCGGTTTACGCGGCAACTGTCGGTTAGCTCGCATTAGCTTGCGTTATCTCTGTTTCTTGAGAATTTTTTCGCACGGAGTGCTTGCATGTACAGAAACTGTACCGATCGACTTTGTGCAAAGTAAAGTAAAATGAAAACGTTGTTCCGTTAAATCGTATCAGTAGTTCGTCAATGACGTTTGACTTCGATTCAAAGGATCGAATGAACCGCAAGTCATCGTTCGGGCCTTCATATTAATTAAAAGTTAACGAAGATTCGCGTGTATGATAGAAATGAAGTGACTTCGTTGGTTAAAGAGGTGACGCCGAAGGTGGAAGGCGTGTGTGTGTGTATGTGTGTGTGTGGTGATCGTGCGTCGACAAGCTGCGGGTGCAGGTGAGATACAAATGAAAGACGTAAACGCGGACGCGGCGGAGACTCTCGAAGGCAGAACGTCTCCTTCAGTTCGTGTTCTGTCGAAGGAACAATCGAGCCTGTCCGAGGGAAGGTAATTAAGAGAACACGACGGCGTCGATTAAACGAGTTCTGCCGAATCGGGTGAAACGAATTAATTCTGCCGTCGAACGAGGGTCGAAGATAAACGATTAAGCTTGACGCAGCCGGAGAATCCTGTTTAACGATTCAGTGACGAATACTATCGCACGATGCCGTGAAACAGTCACCCTCGCGGTTGAAACAAGTTCTCTGATGGGCAATCTTTCGCTTGTAGAATTTAAATATCTATCATTTATAATTACCGTTTAGAAGCCCGCGGTCTCGCGTGAAATTCATAATGCAGATTATCAACAATCTGTTAAAATCTTGCATTCGTCATTTTCACGACGTACGGCGGATGTCTGTGAATGATTATTTTCTAATCGAAGAATCTCATTTTAAAGATCGAATGATTGAAGATGCAAACGAGCGTGATAAAAATACTCGTTCGTTTTATCGGGAGCATCTGAAAGCTATTCGAAAGAGGCGAGAGGGAGAGAGAGAGAGAGAGAGAGAGAGAAAAAAAATACGAAAAAAATTACGAAACATTGTACATCAGAGAGAAAAGGTATCGTGCAGCATTCCGTGCAATTCGCTCGAAATGCAAAAGCAGAGCGGATGTAGCCGAGGGCGCTGACTGAATGCCTCCGAACGTCAAATTACGAAACACACCTGTTCTTCGAAACGACTTCATTACAATCGGTTTCGTGCATTTGTTGCTTCGTGCTCTCATTGCCTTCCCGGAGGAGACCCTTTCATTTCGCGTCCGCCAGCGAATTTGCCCGATAAACGGAGAACGCCCAAGACCGAGAAACGCTTGCGAATTCGCTGTTGCGATAATAAAAATAACACTCGTGACGCGCTAGATCGTTAATAAACCAACAGATTAATTCCTTCGGTGGGCGGTCTGATTCCCTGAGAGGAGAACAATAACGGCATTGTGAGTGCGGTATAAAATTTCGTTACGCAAGTTTCGTTCAACAAAGCGCGAGAATTATTCCGCTCGTCTCTGAGCGGAACAGTCGATGTACTCTTAAAGGCAGCGTCGACTGCCGAGAAGTATTACAGTTGCCGCTAAGCAAGTGGAAAATATTTATGGCACTAGCACGTTTCACGCAAAGCGTCGAAGACGCGGATTTCGTGGTCAACGAACTCTTTTCCCATCTTTATTCCTGATAACTGAATCGATCGTTTACTCTTTCACGACTCTACGCAAATACTCCCGAGTCCTGAGCATCGCGTGAAACACTCCAGTCTTCAACATTCAC